TAGATTGGAACAAGACCTAGAAAGAATTGCCCTTTTTATAAAAGTGTACCAATGATGCAGCCTGTGGGTATTCATAAAGGGCTATCCTACCCAACAATTTAACTCACTGATGGGTCAACTTTTTGCATTTCATTATAAATTTCGTGGAAAACTGTGTCAGTGTCGTAAAGCCACTGGGCGGAAGCACCTATGTATAAAAGGTTACCATAGTCCTACAGAGATAAAAAAATAAATAAAAAATGGCAGCAATAAGTTGCTTTTTTCAACTTTTTAAGTACTTGAAGCGCATTTTTTTTTTTAGTGAGTGAGTGAGTGATCCCATCCAAAGCAACCACAGCAGAAATCATACCCGGTCTCATCTTAGAGTTTCTAATATGTCTAAGTTTTGTCTTAGAAACACTCAGAACAAGCTTCTGTTGTAGCAAGTTATGCTGAAAGATATTAAAAGCACTCTGCAAGTGCTTCAAGACAAGCTCAAAAGAGAAACCACAGCAATAAATAACTGTTTCGTCAACATAAATTTGTATTAGCCACATTATGAACCAGGTTATTTATATATTTATTACTTAAAAGTGGAACTAAAATAGAACCTTGAGGTAAACCCTTTGAAACAGTCATAAATTTAGAGCACAGAGCATCACATCTAATAAACTGAGATCTTCAGCTAAGGTAGTTTGAAAACCACACAACTGCTTACTCTGAGAGTCCTGAATTTAAAAGCCTTAACTTTAAAACATTATGGTCAACTATTTTCGAAAGTTTTAGACAAATCTATAAAAAGAGATGCACTGTGCTGTTTTTTGTCAAATGTGACCAAAACGTAATTAAAAACTTTTATAGTAACTGTAGTGTTGCTGTGTTTTTTTCCTAAAGCTTGACTGATATGTGGACAAAATGTAATGGATATTTATTCTTTCAGTTACTCGGTCCTTCAAGAATTATCACCAGTAATGACACGTTTGATATTGGCATATAGTTATTTAAACTGTTGGGTCATCTCATGTTTTACTAAAAGGATGAATAAAGGAGATTTCTGCCAGAAATCTCAGCATTCTGCCAGAGTGAGTCTTTCACTTTTAATCTGGTAATGTAATAAGTTGATTCTCTGTTCTCACTTTTCCAATAACCTAATATTGTAAATCCAATAGATGTTTGCTCTTCTCTGTCCACAAACAGAGGCAACTTGTCAGTAGATTAGAAAGCGTTAGCTCTAACAGGTTGAGCGTGACAGTGAAATGAAGTGACCCAAAGACAACTACAGCTGACGCAGACAGAGTTATAGGCTCTCCACTGAGAAATGTCCAAATAGCATGCGGGCAGAAGTAGAAGCTCAATTACAATATGCGTTCTGTTAAGTCAGAGAAAACGTAATTTTATGGTTAATCAGGGGAAGAAGCAAAAAATAAAAAAAAAGGAATTTCAGATTACAGCTGCGACACGTATAACATAATGTGAAAGATTTAGCTGTTCTAAACAATACATTTTTTTTTACTAAAATAAAATCAGGTGGAATTAATAAAAATTACACATTTCATAATGATACAGGGTTTTATTTTCTCTAAAATTGGTAAAAAAAAATAATAATACGTATATATTTATATATATATATATATATATATATA